CATGTCTCCTCCATCTTTTTGTGTTTGTTACTCACTTGTAACACCTCTAATCTTCGGCACTTATATGACCTATTGTGTTGCAAGTGCCGTAAAACTCTTTCTAAAACTAAATTAAAATAGTATACGTGTCTTTAAAAGGCTATATTGATGGATGCTTGTGAGTGATGGACATAGTAACATGATACATGATATAACGGCAGACGTGTGTGGGAGGTTGCCGGGTGCTCTGGTGTAATTTACTCCTTCTTGCCTATAAAAAAATCTATTGCCCTTGTCTTTTTTTTTTTTGGTTAGTTACTCGCTGTAACACCTCTAATCATCGGCACTTATATGACCTTTTGATAAGGCTTATTGTGCCGTAAAACTCTTACTAAAACTTGACACTACGTACACTTTTTGTGTGGGGGGGTTTCCACTCTTTTGTTTAGTATTGTTTTGTTTTGATTTGATTTGTTTTCAAGCTATGTCGATGGCTGTTTGAGAGCAGCACGCTGGTGATGTTTAAGTGCATATATATAATTTTTCATAGCTCTAGTTATGTGGTTGCCTGTTTACGATGGTGTTGATGAGGAAAAGTACTTGAGTGCTTCGTATTTGTGTGACTAATGCACTTTAAGTTCATGTGAACACGTAGGTGATATTAACACTCAAATATATATCGGCCTAGCTTTAAAATAGAAAAGTGTACAATTATATCATACTAGCTGGGTAACCTTGCTATGAACGGACTCAAAAGAATAGATCATCAAGTCATTGTGGAAATAGTGCGCACTGCTTGTGAACGGAAGTCTCACTATTACTTCCGGCACTTCCGTTGTGGAGGACAGCTACGCAGATTTGTTTCTTTCTCTGTGGAATAATCACAAAGGCCAAAGAAGGACGGGAACTTTTGTCAAATATATTTGTCTAAATTCAGGAATTGAATAAATGAAAAATCGGGCTCCGTCATGGGGACCTATCTATCTTTTTGCAGGTACTTGCCAACTTTCGACTCTGTAGCTGTCGTAGTTTTATGGAAAAAGTGACAAATTTGTTTCCAAGTTGACAAATATATAATAAATAAGTACAGTGCTCAAATACTATAGATAACTATTTGAGAGCAAAACTGACCTGATATAATAGTACAAGGTGTCAAAGTTGTCTCCATGCAGCTTCGTTCATGGCTAATTCTTCCTGTGTTTGAAGCGCAGATTCTGTCGCAGTGCTTGCATGTCAGTGACGTAGATCGAAGCTCTGTATTTCCGCTGTTTTCCTTTCGTCGTTGGCGCTTCTCAGTCTGGTTCTTTCTCATGCTACTCTCTAGCCTTATAAATCTAGTTCTTTCCTTTATTATTTTCCTCCATGTTTTCCTGTCCTGAGGTATTTCTTCCCATGTGCTGACATCTAGATCTACTCCAAGCTTCGATAGGCTGTTTTTGCATACTGTAAACCATCACAAAAGAATCGTAAACGGGAATTTACATATTCAGCAGTGTGCACTCTGTCGCCTGCTCTCTTACGTTCCATATTTTAAAATAATAATAATATAATAATAATATTATTCTAAAAATGAATTGAATAATCTATAGGAACAGCGAGCTCACGCTTCTTTCTCCGGTGTCTGTGTTGTAACGGCAAGGCGCGTCGTTTTGCATGCAGAAGACCGGAGATCGATTCTGGAGTGAGTGGAAAGAATTTTAATGAGTATCTCCTCAGTCTTTCTGCTGACTGCTGGTACGTTGTATCTCTCTCAGCTATTCCTGCTTTTCTTTGTCATTGTTGTTTTTCTCAGTTATTGTTGATGTTTTTTCTTTGTAATGTTTTTTTTAGTATGTGTTTTGGTTTACTTGTTTTTGTAAAGTTTCCTTTGTCTTAAAAGAAAAGAAAAGAAAGTTGAATAAAATAAGCGTGTAGATATCGAGTTGTTTTCACCCCCACTGCTGTTACCGTTAATCTGTAGGCAGCTCTGGGCTCACTGATCGGTTAGCTTTGTGGACGAATTAGTGGTCTTTGTGGGAGAGTGGGACGTATTATTGGTCTTTGTGGGGGCGTATGATTGGTCTTTGTGGGGGCGTATTATTGGTCTTAATGTGAGCGCATTATTGGTCTTTGTGATAGGAGCAAAGGCAGTTGTGTGGGTGGTCGCCTGTGCATTGTGGGAGAACACTCTGGGCCAGGCTTTGAGCTGTTAATCCTAATAGCTCTCTGTGCTCATAGTTTTCATGTAGGGTAAAACAGAATAATGCAATTTGTCACAAAATTCAATATTTAATGTTTTATATTCTGAAAGTTCAGAAAAAAACTGCATAAATGTAATACGCCACTTTCTGAAATAATTTAAAGTATACATTTGATTGAAAATTGACGTTTTGGGCTTGAGATTCTGAGAATGGAAGCACGTCACAAGGACACAGTTGTTAAGAAACGACACACATCAGTATAATAATATGATGGGTTTCAAATAAGTGAAAGTAGTATGCTATTCAAAGGTATATGGAATATCTTTTCAAAGTACGCATGCCCGTTTTAGCACTCATATAACGACTTTATGCAGTTGCGAGCGCTGTAAAACCTTACTAAAACAAAAACCACATGAACCTTTTGCAAGTATGAGCGCCGTAAAAAATTACAACAAGAACAAAACAAACAAAAAGACATGCATGTTGATTTTCTCCCAAAGCAAACCGAGTCTCCTTTTTGTAACACAATCGATGTCTTTTATATGTTGACAGTATTAATTGTTACGCTTTATCTTGCTTTATTTCAATCAGCCAATATACAACAGCTTGTTGTGTATTGTGAATGTTTGATTCTTGTAAATAGCGACGTCGGGCTTGGGTTTTTGGGGTTTTTAAAGTTGTTTTCTTTATCAATTTTGTTTTCTTGGCTTTTGTTTTGTTTGTTTGTTTTTGTTTTGGGTTTTTTCCAAATACTATATGTGAAACCATTCATAGTTTGTGCAATCATTTACCACAAATTAATAACGACTGATTCTCATATAGTCTGATTATTTTTTCCTCCTCGCAGGCAACCCTCTCAGCGAGTCTAGAAGCACCCATAATGTCATCACCACTACCACCACTATATCCCACACCCTGCTGTGTGTAGCACTGTGATAAAAGACTGATACCGCCACCACTGTTTCCAAGACACTCTTGAGTAAGAAAGGATATAGACCACTACCACCACAGTTTCGCCACAACTATTGTATGTAACAGTGTGACAGAGAACAGATACCACCACCACTACCACCATCACCACTCACCACTACCACGACCACCACCACAGTTTCCCCACCACTGCTGTATGTAGCACCGTGATAGACAACAGATATATCTCCCCGCTACAATGTTCCACCACCCTCGACCTATCCACGCTGTCAGTGTGAGCACTCCGATGCCCGTGCGCTCCAGCCCTGACAGAACGGTGAGTGGATTCATGTCGTTGTTGTTGTTGTTGTTGTTGTTGTTGTTGTTGTTGTTGTTGTTGTTGTTGTTGTTGTTGTTATTTTTGTAATTGTTGTTGCTGCTATTTTTGTTGTTGTTGTTGTTGTTGGTGGTGGTGGTGGTGTTGCTGTTGTTGTTGGTTTGTTGTTCTTGTTGATGCTGTTGTTGTTGTTTTTGTTGGTGGTGGTGGTGCTGTTGTCACTGCTGTTTTTGTTGTTGTTGTTGTTACATTGTTGAAGTTGTTGTTCTCGTTGTTGTTGTTGGTGGTGTTGTTGCTGTTTTTGTTGTTGTTGCTGTTGTTGTTGCTGCTGCTGTTGCTGTTGTTGTCATTGTTGTCGTCGCGTCATACTTAATATCATCAATAGATACATTATCTATCTATCTATCTATCTATCTATCTATCTATCTATCTATCTATCTATCTAT